CTGGAACATATTCAAGTAGTGTTGATAATAAAATTGAAAAAAAAAGAGGAATGAAGGAATCGACTTAAAGAGTTAACAGGACTAACGAAGGATCATAAATTAAATGCAGCTTTTATTGCAAAAGAAAATAAAAAAAAAGCAACCAAACGATTTGCAGCTGGTGTCGCGTGTTAGGCCAAACAAAAAGCTATTGCCTTATGCATAAAGATCAACAGGATAAAAACTTTGCATCATTTCAAATGAGAAAGAATGCAGATAACAATTATCATAACTACAGGAGTAGGTCAAAAGTAGTCAACAATTTTAACGAGATAAACCCCCAGAAAGAATTTAAGCATATGTCAAATTACCACAAAATTTCTCAATCGCGGAACAGTTTATACAGTGAAAAAACCTTTCAATCGAAATAACGAATATCATTCACCTTACCAGATCCAAATTTTAAGTGATGATGACAGTCCAGGAGACTACGCCAATGATGCTTTTGAATGTTTTGACTTAAACTAGAACGGTCTCCGGCTGAACCAAAGATACAGTAGTATATTAACTTATACCATCATCCCGTCTGAGATAAAAATGAAAATAACAGTCTGAAATCCAGTTATTTCTTGACAATGGAGCAACTTGTTCTCTTATTTGTTTTAACAGTTATGGATAATTTTGTAAAATTATCCTCTACAGCTTAACAGATCAAAAACTGTTGTGACTATTCGGGAAAAATTAAAGCCTGGGTTTCAGCCAAGGTCGGACTCAATCTTTGAAGTTCTATGATAGAAATTTAAAAATATCAAGATATAGTAGTACCTATTACTAACATAAGAAGCAAAAGTTATCCATATCTAAGTAATTCATATCCTTATGTACATCTTGGTCAGAACATAACTCTTGTACCAAAACTATCACACGTTATTTCAATTTTTTCAGAAGTTATATTTTTTTAAAATAAACAGAAACATCTTTTGAGTTTGATGTGTCCTTGGAAAAGAGGCATTTATTCGAATAATCTACATAGTAAGTAAGAAAAAAGATCAATCCCTAGAGTAATCAAAGTTTCTAGAGAATCAAATTTAATTATAAAAAAGTTTTAATAGTCCAAAAATTTGAGAATCGTGAAAAAAATCAATTTTCTGCTTTAAAACAATTATAATTTTACAATCTTTTAAAAACGTTTAATTGACTTGATATACAAGGAGTCCGCTTTTGCATGACGCTGAAAAAGATATGCTAACACTGCGTAAACACGAATTAATTTCTCTGTCGAGATCAAAAATTGTCAAATTCGCCAACAGTTATGCAACATATTCAAAATCAAATTAAGATAGAATGGTCGGTATTTAACGGCTTAGAAAAAAATTTTCGAATTTGGAAAAAGCAAAAGAATTTGCAGAAAGCCATAGGCTTGAAGTGACCGAAAATCACGAGTTTATATTCCTTTCATATCCAGGCTGTTTAATCACTGAAAATTCCGTATTACATTGAAGGCGGCATTGTAAACTTACGCTAGGTAAAATAACGAGATATAATAAAGTGAAACCTTTGATGAAAGAACTAGCCGATGTAAAAGTGTAACAAACGTAATTTGCGAACATATATAGCGCCATCGGAGTCCTCTCAGGTCCCAAGTAGGGACCGTTGTTATTAATTGTGACTTTTGTAGAAATTTCAATTTTCAAAAGGCAAACAAGCAGTAGTTCAAGTTTTACTAATATTCAATTTTACAAAACGCGCTAACAACGTCTTTCGAGCCGACCCGCCGCATATTTATGCCCACAATTGTTGGTGGCTATGAAATAGCGTTTCAAAATTAATAGTACCCTTTTCTTTTAAACCAACGCGAGCGATTGTTCATGGCTGAATGCAGCCTTTCAGACTACTATGGTACGCTCCTAATAATTTCGGCCAATTTAATTTTTCGGTTATACAGAGTTCTCTGCATAGGCTTTTGAGCTCCTAATTATGAAAAGTTTTCGGAAGAAATAATTTGAATTTTAGACCGCATCATTATTAACTTTGCTTAAGTAGAACTTCACATCCAAAAATTCCAGACAAATTTTCTTTAGTAAAATAATGAATATGAATTAGTGCAGAGCCTTACAACAGGAAACACAACAAAACTACTTATCTTGTTTCATGTAACTGTTTTTATAACTGGTTTTTAAATTAGCTTTCCTCTGTGTTTCTTTTTGTTTTGATTCTATTTCAAATATCTTCTGGTTCTTACCAAAATTTGACGAAACTGTTTTTTTTACTCCAACAAAAACGTTTTTAAATCAACTACAATATTTGTTTGTTGTTGTCTCACAGTCATTACAGTTTTCTATCCTTTAATGATTTATTTAGTTAGTCCAATAAAAAGTGTACAGTTGTATATTTTGTTGGTTATGCTACAATTATGATGAAAGAGAGAAATTGAGTTTTCTTGCTTTTCATCGCGGTGGGTTTGCGTGGACCACAAAATTACCAATATGTGTTTGGGTAGGACAAAAAAATAATCATACTTAGCTTGTGTTTGGCACAAATTTCGACATACTCTGCTTCTGTTAAAAACAGAAAGTAGAGTTGTGTAATGAAGTTTGAAAACAAAGTTTGAACCGGTTATGAACTGAAAATTCTTCGTGAAGCAACATAAACTCTCAATCAGAAAAAGGAGAAGCTAGCAAGGTTTCACTGCAATTCCGCCGATCGAGAACAGTACAAGCAGAATGCAATCTTTCAACTTTCAACACAATTGCAACCTAGATTCGATGATGATGAGTACTACCAATTTAAAACAGAGAGTAACAATTGAATCGTGAAGGATGAAGAAAAGTTCAAAATTTTGAAAAAAAATTGAAAAGAATTGAAAGATACAAAGTACTATGCCTTTTGTAATAGTTTGACCTCAAACTTTAAGTATAATGTGTTTTGCAAAGTTTTAACACAAACCTGCTGTACCATTCATAAGCATAATTTGATGCTAGTGTGAAGGTAAATATCGAACAACTGTCTATCTAAAAGGGGTTGAAATGTAGTATTGCAACTGCTACATGGACATAGAAAAATATTGTTCTAATTTGTTAACTAGGATAAGAGTGGACTCTTTTGCACTTTATATTTGTCAACCCTTTGAATACTAGCTCGTTTTCTCTATAACACTTCTCATTTTTCAAGATTGTAATCCCCCTTAAAATAACCAATTTCTTTTCACTAACTCTTTTGTCGGATATCAAAACAAGTGTGCCACCACACAAGCCGACCGGTTAAAATGTCCTGCTTTAAAATACAGACAATAAAACGTTAAGCAGCTGGTCCTTTTGCTACCTAACAAAAACACAAAGAAACAGAACACTGCAAATCAAAGACTGAATGAATGAAGGCTTATTAATAGGTAAGAAATACAAAAGAGAGACTACTGGAAACTTTCCAAAGACTGGACGATGTAACAGATATCCGATGAAATGAAGCCTTTGAAGATGAAATTAGACAAGTGTACTTTGAAGCATTCTTGAATTAAAATTGGACCGGTCTGATTTATTCAATTATTTTTTAAACCCCACTCTCATTTTCACTCGCTCATTTGAGTTAATTTTTTCTAGAATAAGTTAATTTCTTCCTTTTTGTTCTTTTCTTTTTTTCGGAAATTATTAAGATAAAATACTTGGTTTTTTGTAAGTTCCACGACAAAAAGCAGCAACACGGTCTAGAAGAACAGATGATCCAATACTTTGAGAGACAATCGATACTATGAGGTGGACAAATCAATCTAGACGTCAGACGTCAGGCAATTTAGACGCAGACGTCAGGCAAACGAAGTGCTTGTTTAAATGTAAAAATTAGGTATTGACCCCATCCTCATTGGTACTAAAGACAGTTTTTCCTTAAACTTTAAGTTATTTATATTTAACTATCCGTTATATAAATTCATGTTTTTTTTCTGAATTTTTTTTTCTACTATAGCTTTTGTCAATAGAATTGACGATCTTAGGTAAGATTGGTAACTTAAGATAAAATACTAAAGGGACAAGAGAGGCTATATGAAAGCATTTGTCTTTCTCAGTAAATAATGCAGTCGAAAATTCTGTTCCGGTTGCTATAAAACTATTAAGATCCTGTTCCTCAGCTGCAATAAAACTTAGTGAAATTTCTAAATTGCATTTTACTCATCCTGTCAAAAACACGTACTTCTCTCTTGGTTTAGATTAATTGCCTTCCCGAGGATGTTAATGACTAATCCCTTGTTTCTTTTCCTGATGAGTTAAAATTTGAGTTATTTGAACTCTCATTTGGCTGTAAAACTCTTAATGAACAGATTATCTCTGATTGTATAAAGTTTGAGTTATTATCATTCACTGTTTTCAGTAAAAACGGTCTTTTCTCTAAAATTTATACTTTTTGCACGCCAACATTTTTAAAGAAGAAAAGGTTAAATCATATTTTTTATTAAGATCATTAAGTTGGCCCGTAATGTGTCAGGAAAAATCAATTGGATCTAAACGGTCGGATCCCGTTCGAGGTGCTCGACCTTTGTTTCGACTTTATAAGACAAGCAAGCTTCGCCCTGTAACAAAGAGGTCGAGAGTTTGGACCAGAGAGACGAAACCTACCAAAATTTGGGCGAAAAATTTCAAAAGATACCAAAATTTGATCGAGACGGTCGAAACATACCAACTTTTGATTGAGAAAGTCGAAGCATAAATCAACAGCCTCGACTAAAAAAACATGCCCAATTGTGTCAAAACGGTCGCAACACGCGCAATTTTGGTGGAAACCTAAAGTGAGCATTTTAAACCAGGCTTATGACAAAAAAACCAGGCCGCCTCAAATGGTTTAAAAGTACGCTAGAAAATCTATATTCGATTTATTGAATAAAATTTATGAAAATGCAGATTCAAGACACTTTTGGAAGCCATTACTACGAGTCCCGACCCGTATTTATTCGCCTTATTTTTTTTATCTCTCGCAACGATTGCCTCATTTGTGATGATTGATCTGCCTTGCCGCCAATTTTTTTCGAACGAAAACTATCTGAATTTATTATTACAGCAATGATAGAGTTTTAAATTGTCAAATTGATTATGTATTTTTGTCGCTATGCTTAATCAGGTTTAGTTATTTTAGTTTTGAATTTAACAACTAAATATTTACATATCATTCAAAAACTTCATGCGCTTGGCGTAATTTCTGTCCTTCTCGTTCGGCCCTTGGTCGTCGCCGGGCAGACTTTCCTCGTTCGTACGAGCCAGTCTTGGGTAAGGGTACGACTGATCTACCAAAACCGAACCGGACTTAGCAGTTGATGGGTGATGAACACCTTTGATTTGCAAATCAATCAACCAAGTTCGTCTGAAACATTCGTACGCTTCATTGAACTGCCTTTTCACCTCGAAATCGATCGCAATGTTGTAGTAAATTCTGGCCATCAGAGTACTAAATTCGCCATACTTTTTCAAGCATAACTTTCTGGCCTCTAATAAAAGGACGAGCGATTCGGGTCGGTTTTTCATAGCTGCCTTGAGCAGTCCTTCCGTCATTTTAGCTTCGGCTTTCAGCCCGTCGTCTTTCAATTCGTCGCACAGTTTGTAAGCGTCCTTTAGAGTTTGCTCCGCTTGCTCTCCGGCGTCCGGATTAGATCTGAAAAACTGCAATTTTTCAGTTTCACATTGCAAAGGCTGTATGGAAAACTTTTTTTCGGGAAGTGACTGGGGAAAGAAAGCAAAAAATGTTCGAAGTAAGCTTCCTGGTGCATTCTATAAACCGATTCTATTTCGTTTGTCTAGATATGAAGATAAAACAAATAGCCACCAGCCAATTGAAGATGTGTCAATGAACGCAAAGAGTCAGAAAAAAAATGAAAGTTTTTGAAACTTTTTGTAAGTTTCAACTTACCAAGAAAAATTATATAGCTTTAAAGTTTTTGTTTCAATTTTAAGAAAAGTTTAGAATTGACATTTTTATTATTGACCCAATTTGAGAAAAGTGAATCAATAGGTAAACTTTTTAGTCTGTGCTGAGGAAACATTAAAAAATCCGTTTTCGAAACTAGAACTGTTCATTTCTTCACGCCATTTCGGAGATTGTGATTTGCCCTCTTTTTACAAAGAGTTTGAATTAAACTTACAAAAACCAACCCAAACTTACAAAGTCAAAACGCTAAAAATCGAACTTGATGTTAAGATTTTTCCTGGAAAAAAAATCGATAATCGCGACCTATATATGCGTGTTCACTGCATTTATTCCACTTAAAAACAGCATTATTCTTTTGATTTTTATATAAAACTGCGACTTACTTGTCTCTGCTGAGCAAAGCCTGAAGAGTGAAGCTCTTCAGAATGTACACTTTACACAACTTGGCCTTGCCCACGTACTGATGGTGGGAAATGACGTCATTCCACAAGTCTATCAACTGAGTGTACACTCTGGGATCCTTCGTCTCTGATACCCACATTGGTTCCTTCAATTTGTTATGTGTCGAATAAGCAAGCAGTGCCTTGATTTCAAACTCACGTTCCGGACTTTTTTCGTATTCGAGAGCCTTTTTTGCAAAGTCAACAGCATGTGCATAAGATCCGGCATCAGAAAGAACCGTAGCTGCTTGTTGCAGACATTTTGCTTTTATTCCCTTGGCCATTTTTTCATGTTTGACCACACTTTCAGCTTGCTTTTTAATCGTGTCGATTATGTTTTCAAATCTGATTTTGGATAGTGAAGACCAGAATTTGAGACTGTCGACAGGACTAGTTCCCGAGCTCAGAACGCGGTCATCGTAAAGTTCCTCAATCAAACTCCAGTTTGACAAGATGTCAACAGGTTCTTCGACAACACTGGTTTCAGAAGAGCTGATAGGCGCTGCCCGAGCACCCACATGTCGGATTCCTGAGGGTGGACGAGCTGAAGGCCTCGCGAAGCTGGTTTCAGTCAATATATTGTGCTGCTTGATGCATTTGGACAGTTTTCTCTCGTGGCCGGATTTCAAGTTCAATTCTTTTATATCCGAATCAGTCATTTCCAGAACTATATCTAGAAATTCAAAACCATTGTCTAGAAGATTATCGATAACCTCTTTGGGCATTTTGTGCTTCGAGAGCCAATCAGATAAATCCTTCTCGCAATTGAACTCACATTCACTTGCATTTCCATCGGCCTGATTGCCTGTCGGCTCATTTGCTAAATTGGCAGCCTGGGTCCTTTCAACCACTTCTTGATTGTTCATGGCGTCTACGAGTTGATTTGCTCTGAAATCTGCAACTAGGTCGTCCATTTTCCCTGAGTACGGGATCCTACACTTGGGGCAAGGAAACGTGCCTCCCCCGTTAGAATTTTTCCAGTCGATTAGGCAATGCTTGCAGAACGAGTGGCTACAGGGAAGCATTCTGGGGTCTTTGAACACTTCCTGGCATATTTCACAGGTGAGGAAATCAAGGAAGAGTTTGTTGCTGGGGTTCGAAGCTGGAGAGAAGTTGACAGCTGAAGTCTGTTCCAGTTCTGCCATAATCGCATCTACTTTATTCATCACTGATACAAATGCCTGCTCCCAGCTCTGATTTTTATCTAAATGGTTTTTCATTTGTCATTACTACATGCGTTATCCTGCACTAATGGACGAATTTAAACGTATGTTTGTTTTTCCTCAAAGTTGATTGCTTTCAGACACCATTTTGTGGCAGTATATATTTCTGGACTGAGCGAGGAAATGAAAAAAGATGAGCATGCAATTAGAAACTTTATCAGCAAAAAAGTAATTTTTTCAGTTAGAAAATTTTCTTAAACTTGCATATTATAGTTTCACGTCGTTGGAAAAACTTCAGACAGCTCGAGCACACTGGCATTTTAAGACCAAAATAAATGGTTAACTATATTTTTAAAATACTTTTTTTTAAAAAACTAAATCATACTTAATCTCAAATCTTGCTAATATTTTTTGGCTTGACTCTTATTGAATGCCGTCAAAAATGGTCTTTGAAAACATACAATTTTGAGAATAAAATCAATAATTGGCTTTCATTTTCTCCATGCGGGTATTTTTTGCAGGTTCGTTTTGGGAGTTTGATATGAAAGTAAACAGGCATCACTCGGTTGCAAAATGCACAAAAAAAATAGAAGCGTATTTAACTTTTTCGTTTTTTTTCAACGATTTTTTGAAGTATTGTTTGAGCTGATCATTTGCTCTTGGTTTACGTAAGACTTTTGCTAAAATTCGAAATAAATGTCCAAAATGGCATTGCAAACAGGCATAATTATAGTAGAAATTTAGATCTGCGCTCAATTTTTGGCAGGGACGGATCAAAAATTTTCTCGAGGGGGGGGGGGGGGGGGGCGGATTTTCAAAAAATTTCGAAAATTTTGTCGATCTTTTTTTATAGGTCGACCAAATTGACACCAGAAATGCCCCCCCCCCCCCCCCCCCTAAATATGCTGGTGAATTTTGACTTTTGGCAAGTTTACTTTTTGTTTTTGATCCGGCCACAGAAATTGGAGGAAGGAAATTTTGTGTTCGGACATTTCAAATTTTTTTCCTCTTTTTCTTTTTGTTTTAATGCCAAATCAAGCAACGTCGACACAAATAACTGTCCGAAGGGGTCAAGTGATATATCATATAAAAGAAGTTTAGTCGTGATTCGAACCGTTTTGAAAACATTCAAAAAAATACTCGGTGTATAAAACTTCGAGCGAATAAAGCAAGCGAGCAGACCTTTTATACATTAACCTGAGATTTTTGCTGAGTATAATATTTCTTGAACTTTCTCTAAGCGCTTTCTTGACAACATAGAAAAAAAATGCTGCAAAAAAAAACTTGAAAAAAAATTCAGTTAACTGTTTTTTTTTTCAATTTTTGTTTGTTATTCGATTAGTTTTTTGGTAAAACTTGTTGGCAAATATGCGTTTTGTACTATCGAATATACCTAATTTGTAGGCCTTAGCCCAAATCCGCTTATAGCTGAGCGAGCTTAAATATCACTTAGTTATTTTGTTTTATTTGATCGGAACTTTCTGGGCAACTTGCACAGCAAGTGGCTATTCTGATCTGTTCTTGGGTTTGTTTCTGTTCGACAGATTTTTTCATTTTTGATTTTTTGTACAAGAAGAAAGAACGCTTTATTTAATGTGCAAAACATCGACGAATCAATAGAGTGCTGTGTATGGTAGAGTGCACAAATTAGTTACATAATTATTTTATTTCAAATACAGATCATTTTTATAAAAGACTAAGTCATCTTTAAAGATGTAGTACAATTTTAATGTCAGTTTCCTACTCTTGAATTTCTGGTTTAAAACCAGAACTTCTGGTTTGACTTTACCATTGTCTTAAAAGGGAAACAATTTTTGGACGTGAAATTTGGCATTTTCGAGACTAAAGATTTATGTTTGCATTTAGTTTTGCCACTGGTGTAGTAACCAAAAAACTGCAAAGTTATGTATCTATCATTATTGTTTCAGTGATGACTTTCTTGTATATTTTTTTTGGCACAAGTATATAATTTTGAGGATGATTGAGTCATCAAAAATAACAAAAAGATGTCTCTTAATGCATGATTTTTTAATTTTTTGGGGTTACCTTTTTGCAGACAGTAGAAATTAGCTGTAATACAGTGAGCTTCTGGGAATTTCAGGGGATCTATCCACTGGAAGCCGTCCATAACCACCGGAATGATCCTCGGTGTTTCCGTCTTGTTAAAACAAGCATAGGCACAGTTGAATTCGGATATACATTCTTTACTCTTGGCCCAACTGTCGTCTAGAAATATGATCATAATTTTACAGTTTGCGGCATTGGCTGTGATTTCTCTGCGGAACTCTTGGCCTGCTGACATTGCTGTACAAACGAATGTAGTGTAACCAGCAGCTCTGAGTTTTTCGTTCAACGACATCGCTTGCACGCCTGTCGACGCCACGCAATGACTCAAAAATATTTGTTTGATATCGCCCATATCGACGGACAAATAACAACAGCACTTGTTTTATTTTTAGAATTCGAAAATAATCGATACTTCCCGAAACTGAGAAAGGTACGCTCTGTTTAATCAATATGTCTGAATATGTTAGAGTTCCAAATATTTGTCCATGTTCTTAGAAATAACAACACCAGTCTAGTATAAACAGAAGCGTTTTTTCACGTGTTTAAGATTAGAGACGGGTCAAAATAGAATTAGTTCACAAGGTAGATTCCTCTTTGCGTGCTCAAATTCGCCTGTTTGATTATGCAAATTAGGCCAGATTGTGAAATAAAAAGCCTTTCACTCGCCAATGTTCAAATAGGGCCCCTGAAATTGCGTAGCCTTAGCATGGTAAGAGAACTACAAGTTCATGTAAAAAGATAAAATAAGGATACTTTTTTACCGCTTTTTACGGCCTTCAGTGCGGTTCGAGCGCTCAAATTTCAAATGGAAAATGTCAATTCTAATTAACATCAAATGAATTTATAGCTGTAAATCGAATAAATTACGGCTGAATATTTCAATACGTAACTGAGCTAATGTGTACAAATGTTTTTAACTGCAAGTAACTACCGACGTTTTGACGAATGATTTTTTTTTCTGTGAAACTGAAAAATAATTTCACCGTTCCTGATTTTAATACCTTTTCCAAGCTGAAAAGGCCCCAAGTTAAAACCGGGTATGGAGGCACTTTCTTTTAATCTTCGGCTTTAAAGCACACATGCGAATACACAATCAGAAAAAAGGTCTGCAGAAAATATCTGTTTTAACGTGCAAGGTATATTTAAATGAGGTAAATGCATTTTTAAGTAAATTACTTTTAGCTCGTGCGCTTTTTGTACGCCTTGAGTGGTTTTACACTGAATGTTCTGAATTTTCATGAATGTAAATTTTGTGAATAATTATGGCCATTGCGTGCAAGATGACGACCACAAAACGACAAGAACACCTGCATATCAAAAACAACAAAAATTGATTTTTTTTCTGCCAAAGATGTTTCTGACGGCCTAAGACTAGAAAGAATCGCATCAGCAAAGCCGTGAACAAGTAGAAATTTAACCAAGAGTTATTTTTGTCTGGAAATAACAATACATTCTTTCATAACAACCGCGCGATTTTGGGGCAAAACCTTCAAAAAAGTCCTAAAAAGGCATTTCATCCTGTTTTCTACGGCACAATTTTATAGGCCAAAAAACATAGTACTAGAGTTTTTGAGACTGCTCGGGAAATTTAATTTATACTTAAACTAATGAAGTGAAAAAAAATCCGTTTTTTCGCAGAATCTTCCCCTCTCGTGAAAATCCCACATCCGCGCCTGCTTTACTCGGTCCAAACTAGACTACGAGGCAAAACTTTGAAACCAGTTTCTCTCATCATATATCGATTTAACCGCGATTCAAAGGCCTTTATTATGATGCATCACTCGGCCCATCTTTCATTTATTTCTGACACCTGATTTTTGGTTAAAAAATCTAGAAAAAAGTAATAAAAACACAACTGTCCTTTCCATTTGGTGGTCAGAACGAAGTTTTATATCGAAAACTTTAAGTTTTTTAATGGCTCTCTTGAATCCAAATTTAAGAACAAGACTGCTCGTATTAGGGCGAAGCCCTGAATGTTCCGACTGCCTTTTAAGGTTTATTGAGCAGCAGTAATACAAAAAAAATAAATGAAATAAAATAAAATGAAAATGTTTTTCTAAAATTTGAAAATTTATATAAAAATCATCCCCCCACACGCCATATAAAGCACAAAAAGATAGACTTCGTTCCTTGTAACAAACAAATTATGGCAAATAAGCTTCGTTCAACCAATTTGGTACGATTTATAAGGCGAATTAAATCTCGCTTACTCGTTAATAGCGCGAATTATATTGCGCGTTAATTGTCCCAAATTGGTCAAAATGGCCAAAATGGCAATCTTTAAACCCTCATAACTTTACGAAAAATGATCACAGGTAAAATATCTTTTTAAATTTAAGCTCAAGACAACAAGAGCTTTTGAAAGATATAAAAAAATTCGGTCAAAAATGGCTATTTAAAAAGTCGAAATTTGTCTGAAGAAAAAAAAACCCACCCCGAGCACAAATATTCCGTTACTGTCGTATCGAAAGTCGGAGCAACAACGACAATCGTGTAAATTTTATGGAGAATTGAAAAAGCCAACTATAAAACAGAGCCAACATAATCATATCAAACTTTCTAATAACTGACCTTATTCCAAAAAAAAAACATATCGTCTTTCAAATGACTTAAATGTACAAACAGGTATTATGTCAGTTCTCATGGGTCTTAGTTTTATGCAGTCAAAAGGGAGCTCTATCTATCAATTTCATGATCATGTCGTTTTATTGTTCCGACTTTCGATACGAAAGTAATTGTTCCGACTTTCGATACGAAAGTAACGGAATATTTGTGCGCGGGGTGGGTTTTTTTTCTTCAGACAAATTTCGACTTTTTAACTATCCAATTTTGACAAATTTTTTAATATCATTCAAAAGCTATTGTTGTCTTGAGCTCAAATTTGAAAAAATATTACACCTGTGATCCTTTTTCGTAAAGTTATGGGGGTTTAAAGATTGCCATTTTGGCCAATTTAAGACAATTAACGCGCGATATATTTCGCGCTATTAACGCGTAAGCGGAGAGTTAGTTCGTCTTAGAAATTATTCCGAAGTGGTTGAAAGAAGCTTATTTGCCATATTTGATTTGTTACCAGGAGCGAAATTTATCCTTTTGTACTTTATATGGCGCGTGGGGGGATGGTTTTCATAAAAAATTTTAAATTTTTGAAAAAAAAAATTTTTCTTTTTTTTTACATTTAACTTTTGAATGTCATTACTGTCCCATAAAACTTAAAAGGCAGTCGGAACCTTCAGGGCTTTGCCCTAATACGAGCAGTCTTGTTATAGTTACAAAACTCGGAAAAAAATCTGGTCAAAACTGCTGTGGTGAAAAATGGACAGTAACAGACAAAATCTTCCGGTCTAGCCAAAATTAGCCCACCAGCGGGAAATGTCTTCAGCTTTTAAATGATAAATCTCGATTGTGAGCCAAGATTAAGAAGCGCATTATTTGCGACTGATAGCATCTGCTCTTATTTAATTTAATTGTTTCTACTCCACAAGACTTCTGGCAAAGTTCAAAACATTCTCCTCTAAATCGTAATTTAAAGATTACAGTATGAGCATATGGATTACAATGAAACAAAACCAGACTGTACGTATCAGAGCGAAGCGCTGAATGCTCATAGACTCAGGGTGCTTTGAAACGTTCCGAAACTTAAAGATTGATTAGCCAAAAGTGGACGTTTTAAAATAGTACCAAAGGAGACCCTTCAGTGGCAAGGGTTTCGAATACCCCTTAATCCGTTACTGCTCTGACTGCTGTTTTTAAAGTCTGAAGTGAAAGGGGTCTGAACGCAGAAAAAAATTGGTTCAACTAAGTTCACAGTTGTTTTTTGTTCTAAATACTTTTCGTTCACGCGTCGTAAGTTCACAGTTGTTTTTTTTTCTAAATACTTTTCGTTCACGCGTCGTAAGTTCACAGTTGTTTTTTTTTCTAAATACTTTTCGTTCACGCGTCGTAAGTTCACAGTTGTTTTTTTTCTAAATACTTTTCGTTCACGCGTCGTAAGTTCACAGTTGTTTTTTTTTCTAAATACTTTTCGTTCACGCGTCGCAAAGTCAAACATGACGAATTTTGCTTCTATTCAGACAAACGCTTGAGAAAATAATGCTTCAACTCAGTTCGGAAAGACTTTGGCTTTGCAATAAGTGGACACGCTTACATGTTGAGCGAAGATAAATCCTCAAAAGCGAATACACACTGATCCAAAATTTGGTCAAATAGTCATTTTCAATCCCCGCAAAACCTTACTAAAAAACCGATGAATTTAAAATTTTTTAAAACGTCATCAACATTTTCAGATGGTATAAAGTAGTTGTCAAAAAGATTTGAAAAGTTGAAGCTTGTCTGAATAAAAAAAAAAAATTGCGCGCTAATAATCCGTTAATTTTGAAAAATTTGGATGAACTTGGAATCAGGTTACGATTAGTCAGATACTGTGCTATTTGAAACATTGTATTTGCTGTGACACTAAGATTAGGGCGCTGAAAAAGCACCTTATATCTGAATGAATGCTGAATCATCTGCCAATTAATGTTTTTGGTATTTTTCAAAACTTTATTAAGATGAATGTAGCAAAACCTCTTCACGAGAATCGACCGTTTTATAGACTTGTAGTATAGTTGCGTTTTTTATAAAGTTGTAGAATCTTCCCTAATGCAGTTTAAACATGGTTTCAATGCTGTCAATACAAATTGGGGCCTACATTAGCATAAAAATGACGCTAAGCAATAATCTGCGACTGAGGAATACATTTAACATCATTTTTGTGGCAATTTCACAATTAGTCTTCGTAATATGTAAAAATTGGCAATTCAAGCTAAAAAAAACTTACAAACTAACAATCTTACAAAACTTCAGAAAACTTTTTCGTTTATTGTTCCGACTTTCGATACGAAAGTAACGGAATATTTGTGCTCGGGTGGGTTTTTTTTTCTTCAGACAAATTTCGACTTTTTAACTAGCCATTTTAGACGGATTGTTTTTGTATCATTCGAAAAGCATTGTTGTCTTGATCTCAAATTTGAAAAGATATTTCACTTGTGATCATTTTTCGTAAAAATATGGGTGTTTAAAGATTGCCACTTTGGCCAATTTGGGACAATTAACGCGCGATATATTTCGCGCTATTAACGCGTAAGCGGAGAGTTAATCCGTCTTAGAAATCGTTCCAAATTGGTTGAAAGAAGCTTATTCGCCATAACTGATTTGTTACAAGGAGCGAAATCTATCCTTTTGTACTTAATATGGCGTGTGGGGGGATGATTTTCATAAAAAAGTTCAAATTTTAGAAAAAAAATTCAAATTTTAGGAAAAAAAATTTTCATTTTGTTTTATTTCATTTAATTTTTTAAATGCTATTACTGCTCCATAAACATTAAAAGGCAGTCGGAACATTCAGGGCTTCGCCATGATACGAGCAGTCTTGTTTACTTTTTGAAGACAATTGCAGTTTTTGATGCCTATTTTCCTGACTTTCTACGCGTTTGTATAGTTCTATAATCACACCACGCAAAAAAAACGACGCTAATTTGAATATTAAAAAAAGTTTTTATTGTACATTACGAGGCCAAACAGTGCATTTTGTGCATTGTAAGCGGATTCCCCGACAAGGACGCTCCCTTTGTTCTTCTTTTGTTCTTTCATTTTCTTCGATCGTTCCGACAAAATTTAAACATGTTTAAAGACTTGTCTCTGGAATCCAGGAACACGCAGACACAAAATTAAGCTCCTATCTAGTGCACAGTTTGGCTTCGCTACTTGCACAAAAACCGGCTATCCTTGTTTCCTTTTGTCAATTCCTTATTGCAGTATTGCCCAACAGAATTCAAGCGGAAGTTGCTATAAGAAGCAGATGTGAAAAACCATATGCACATGCTAGCTCTAATTCCGAATTCTAGTTTTTGAGATAAGTTCTGATGGGCTCTCAGGTGGTAATGGAATTCAAATACCAGATGAAAAATTTGATTTTTTTTACATTGAGCAACAAAAAATTGAAAAAAAAATTGCCTTGCTTCAATTTCCAATGAATCGGTCGAGGCACTTCCCCAGTGGAAAAACTGAAAAGTACAAAACATCGTGCAAATAAACCTAAATGGTTGCTTGATTTTTCCCAAACTTGACTATAGGTGTGGACGATATCATTTTCTTCGGAACATTTGTAAGGGGATTATATTTACAAAAAATACTACAATTTTTAAAATTGATAGAAATTTTTGTTTAAAATTG